GCTGTAAGTACAGAAAACTATTCGACCACCAGACACAGTCTATATCAGAAACATTTTCTATATAGTACAAGAGCCTTCACTTAGTAACCTAGCAACCAGTGAACTCAACATGGCACCTATTGTAATTCTAAAAAGCGCCAGACATAATTATATCTCTCTTCAGCCAATCACATAAGGCCCTGAGCCATAAATAACAGACTGCTCCCCTACAGAGCACCAGTCTGTGCCGAAAAGTCAACAAACACTTTCTCCAGTAGCCGCTCTTGCTCGGTACGGGATTTGTCTTGCTCAGATGAAGATAAACAGAAGGGGAGAGAGACAGAGGCCTAGAAGTTTTAAAAAAGAAAGAGCCAGAGCGATAGAGTGGAGAGGAAAAGAAAAACAAATGCAGCCTATGATTACTGAGTCATAATGAAGGCTGTTAAATGGGACTGTGGCTATGAGCTAGTCATTAAAGACTGTGCCAAATGGCTGGAAAACCTACAGGTCTCTATTTGAAACACTGGTATGCTGGAAGACAAGGACGCATAGCACTGGATATAAGAGGTCCTTTCAAATAGCCTATTCAAAGTAATTGCAACATTTCACAAATGTTACACTAATGATCTCAACAGCAGAGCCTTAAAAGCAGTAAGCACTCCACTTTCAAGCCTTGTTACCCTGTGCATGTTTTTGCCAGACAGCTACCGCGGCACTCTGCGAAACAACTTAGTCTCCGGGGCCATATATATTTAGATTTTACGACCAATATTGAATTCTGACCCAAGACATTTTCACCAGGGTGATTTAAGTTGTCACCTCGATTGGGCAACAAGTTATGGCTGCAATTACGATCAGATCACATCACATCACATCACATGGCTGGAAGAGGGCATTAGGACATTTGTTCCCTCTGGGTGATGAGTGATGGGCTAGGGAATGTGTCTGCCCCCGAGGGATTACTAACGTGTTATAAAAGTGACAGAACACTTGTGTTACTTTGGGGATCTGAGAATTTATCTAACCTCTTAATGTCATATCATCATCGTCATTGCGGTGACAAGTTACAATGACAAAATGGCTGCAAAGGCGCACAATGACCCAGCAATTTTTGAGAGATCAGTGAATGCATCTTTTATTTTTTTTTAACCTTACTGCAAGGCCTTTTGGAACAAACTTTTAGAGGTATGTGATCTTATCAGCAGAAATACCAACTGCATCAGCGTATCACTTCTTGTCACATACTTACTGAGATATGTAAACATGAGAGATAGAGGTAGCGCAAAACTTGGCGTGTATCACATAATGAAAGCAGATGCGGCCTACATTTCCCTTGCACTCCTTTTATTTTGCACCTCTCACATGGGAAGTGACACTTTCTTGATTTCAGTGTGATGAATCCAGTGAGTTGTGATCTTATCTCTGGTGATGTGTAAAAACTTAGGTAGGTGCACATCTAGGCATGGGTTAATGTTGGCTTTTTATCTGTTGCTATGGTGGAGTTTACTCCTTGACTACAGTTTTTTTTTTTTAAACTTTGAACAGAACAATTTTTTGCTGAAGGACAAGCACTGCATCCTTTTAATTTTTCATATTTCATGCCATTAAAAAAAGCTATAAATAGAACACAGTATTGATGGCTAGAAGTGTATCGTTAGGTTGCTCTGCTCATAAGGTTATGATGTTATACATGGAACCCTTTGACTACAGGAAATAGTGATATGGTCACATTAGGTCTCAGTGATGCTAACCCAATACCTTTAAAACAACAACAACAGACATTTTCAATCTCTGCATGCATACCTGAAGGACAAATGTATTCCTCTGGAGGTGAGGAAACTGTGTGTGATGCTACAAGCAGAACAGCCTGACCCCTCTCTCTCCTCCCAGGACACTTTCTTCAAACCTCCCTATTGGGATTCTGGTAGCCTACATTCCCTGCTTCAAGGTCGGCGGTGGTGGCAAATTAAATTACTTGTCCTGTTTTGTAGTGTTGGCGCCAGGTCAACAGCAACTTGGCTAAAATGATGAGTGCGGAATTCTGAAGGGAGCTGCATTTGTCCTGACCCTCTGGTGTCAAGTTTGCAAAGCAAGTAGCAGCGATGAAAAGAGCTGAAATCAAAAGCAGCGTATTAAATTCTGCTTCTGTAATCACTTGCAAAAAAAAAAAATCAATTACCTCTGCTTTCAAATGCACCACTTTATACTGTCGTCCTTTGGGCTCACCGTGATGACGGAGGATGTCATGTGCTTGCACATGGAGGGAGTCTTGACTACATTAGGCCTAATTCTGTTAAACTCACACTGCAGCACATGCCACCTGCTGGACATCCTAAATATAACATGTGGTTAACAACAGTAAATATTAAATTGATTTATTTTATTTATTTATTTTTTTAAAAGCATTTTTATGGTTTATATGGTTTAAAATGACTTCATATGTACCAGCAGGAGTTATACCAGAATCCATATCAAAACTTTACACAGACATAATTCACTCAGCTGAGTCTTTATTTCCACAATAACAATGCACCTCTGTTACGTCGGCTGTCAGCATCTCTACAACAACATGTTGGAGTTTATCTGTCAGTTGCAGAGGGGGTTGTTATCAGCAGACAAACAGCACGCACACTGCACTGTGGAATGGGAGGAACTCAGAGTATGTAATGTGGTGTCAAAACACAGCGCAAGGCAAACAGGCAACTTGATATTATGATATACTCGGCTGTCAAATGTGGGTAACCGAGATCTGCTTGCAGTTTCATAAAGCAAAATTATAGTCCGACTGAATTAGAGGAAGGGAAATACTGCACCACAAAATACCAGATATAGGTGTGTTTTATCTTACCTCTGTGCGATGAGGTAACGTGTCATTTGTTAAGGACAGTGGTTGCATAACTACTGACAGGCTGGGTATTCAAATAGAGCCTGCTATCTCTCGAGTGTATATTAGTATAAGAATTAGATATCCTTGCAGTATTATTGGCTTTGTAGCCTATTTGTCTGCGGCATTACACTGCTTAACAATAAACCCTTTATCTGCACATTTCCTCAGAACCTAGCTCGTCCAGTGTTTATGTATTTTTCTCCATCAGTCTCCTTGGCACACATTAATAAAGAAATCCAAAGCAGCACTGCCGGTTGTAGCCAGAGGTGCTACAGACTTGACAGTTTCAAACAAATAGGTCAGTGAAACGCCACTTTTCTGCTTGGTGATAGGCTACTCTGTGAGCTGATGTTGGACATACTAGACACTAGAGAGCAGCAGAGCACCAAAAAACACACCCACTGACTCTCCTCTGTACTGCACATGTGATGCACTCTTACCTTGAATCATAACATATTAAACATTTACCCATATAAATACACATTGCAACCATCTACTGATTTGTCACACCTATTTTTACTATGTTATCCATCTAACAGTGTGTGTGGGTGCAGTTTGTAGATTTCTGTGTATCCACTGACGCCATCTGTACAAGCCCTGATAATCGGAGTATCAGTGAGGGAACAGAGCTGGCTGTCCTGATAGATATTATTATCACATAATACGGTAAGCAGAAACATCTGGTGCAGAAATAAGAAAATAAGATTCAGATACAAATCAAAAAAGATGTTAGACGATATAAATAGCTCCTATGATCATCTATTTGCATTTTAGCCATACTAAGAAGTAATTTTGGTTTGAAGAAGTAGCTCACATTGACAGACTGTTGGACCACAAGCTATGCCTCTCCCAAGTGCCAATTGTTGCTTTATGTTGACAGAGTAGATGAATATTTAACAGGAGGAGGGAAAGTGGTAGGCATCAGATCACTAGAAGAAAATAACACTCGCCCCACCATGTGACCCCACCGTGAACAGCCCGATGACAGACTAGATTGCTGCTTTTGATTGGCTGCTTGGATCTTTGTGGTCGTCCCGAAGGTGAGCTTTGAAATGGACCTTAAATGAAAAGCACACGTGTAGGAAGCAGAACGTGTGCCGATGGGTGGATTGGATGCTTTTGAGAGAGACTCGGAGAAGGTGGCAGAGTTTGGGGTCAGCACCATGGACAGCGAGCAGAGAATTATACAGGTGATCAATGCGATGCAATGGGAAATCAGAAAGCTGGAGCTGGAGAACATGGGTCTGCGGAGGAGGGCTGGAGCCAATCTTCGAAAGAACGCAACGGTTCCAACCATGACAGCAGGGTGCAAAGGTAGATTTATATACACTACTACTCTTAGGCCCATGTATCAACACCTGATCCAGTACAAAGATATAAAAATGTGCTTATTTGCCTTGAAAATGTAGTGGGAAAACATTGTAAATGATTTATATGTGACCAATAGATTGTGTTTGTGGCCTTATTGTACTCCAAGTTTGGTTTTTGGTTATAGAGCAAGCTATCCCTGTTGAATATATGTTTTGAAATATTTTTATTATACATTTATAATGCATTTATTCTTCTTACAATAGGTAAAACGGTGTACTCACCCTTTGGTTGTTGCATTTTGCCCTTCTCTTCCTCAGAGAGCGTTGTTATGACAGTCAGAAGATATTCAGTTTTCCAGCCATTGGTCGGTCCTCGACATTTACAGATGGGCAATGTGAAGAGTGAGAGATGGACCGGAAGACAGCAACGCTGAATGGACAAATTGAACGTGAAGGACACTTAAAATAGCCTAACTTGGATACATCTCACGGAATGGCGGTCTTGCTTTTTCAAACAGGTAGCTACCTTAGCTACTTGATGTAGTGGGGGCCTGAATTTACACACTGATAATGTTGAATCCTCGCTAGCACACGTCACCAAATAAAGTATTTATTTTTTTTGTCCAAGTTGAATTAGCTGCTTTGCACTTTTAGAAAGCGAAGTTATGAAATACTTACGATGTTTTGTCGCAATATTAATATGATATTAATGCCGTCATAACCGCTGTGGCACGAGGGAACATCAACCTGTGGAATGCACCTGTCAGTGTGGGGACTTTACTGATCTCGCGAGATTTCGGGGTTGCGCAGTGGAGAACAGCCGTCCGCCATCACTGCATACAAGCTAACGTTAGCTAAAACCCACTGAGGAGAGCGATTGACAACAACATATCTGACACACACCGACCCAGTTCCCAAAGGGGAGGTCACTGAGTTTCCCTGTCGCTTTCCTGGCGCAGAAAGCAAACTAGCAGCTGCCTTTCATGTAGTCTTTAAGTCAACTTAGAAACGAAAGTCGTTCTAATTAATCATGTCCAACCTCAAAGGCCCCACCAAGAAGGACACCAAGATGAGGATACGAGCCTTTCCTGTAAGTATTTACCGGCTGTGGAAACGCCGAGACCCTAACTATGAGACTCGAGAACCGGGGATGACAGGTCTTTATGCTAGCAGCTGCCTGCTAACTAGCAGTTTAAACCAAAACAAAACGTCATTGTCAAGCTACAACTACTATTGCCGGGACGAATTACCCGAATCACAAAAGCCATGTTATTAGCTCGGTTTGTTTCACGTCAAGTGGTTCCTTGGTTTGAATGTGCCTTCGTCGAGTGTCATGAGCTAATGTTAGCATAGGTAGGGAAACTTCTTCAGTGAGACAGTAGCAAATAGAAGCTAGCTAAGTAGCAGGCCTGATAATGTTACCTGATTTGATGCTTGCTAAGTTGCTGTCAACCAGGCAAGTATAATTCAAGTAGCAGTTTTGGCTGTTGGTATTCATTGGCACCGCACGTTTGGTTCGGGTTGTGATAGGTGGCAAACAACACATTATCATGGAGGGTTAGCTTGAGAGCTAGCGCAACTTCACTACAGTGTGAGGCTAAAGTAAACATGCCTAAAGAAACTTAAGCAGTTAATGTGGACGATGGCAACAGACGTATATTCTAGTAGTAAAGCTGTCACACAGTAATTTCATCAACATTCACTGATCATTGGGCAGAATTACATCTCCACAAACCCAATTACCCTCTGTCATGAGCACACTTGTCAAGCTGCCGTATATGCAGTCCACTAAGCTGTCGTTGAACTCTTCTTCTATGTGAAATATACAGAAGTACTTGTATATCTAGGTGTATGAGTGGGTGTCCGGAAGGGTGAGTCAGAGAGCGGTTAAGTGAGAGAAAACATGTTCTCCTCTCTGAAATGTTGAGCTTGCATGCAAATGCTTGACGAGCCCATCAATCTTCAGTATAGCCACTTCTCAAAGTGCTCGCTAATAAGTCATTTTAGTTTGAAATTAATTTAAATTGATCCCATTTTGCATTTCTAATGAGGCATGCTCATTGTGTGATCTTAAAAAATTCTGGTCCATACTTAGATTTAAACTGGAGTTAGGGCAGGTTAGCCAGATTTCCTTTTCACTTTATACGTCTGTCCAGCCATTTCTCCTCTGATAATGGTTACTTAATCTGACACCACTTTCCCAATTTTTTTTAAAAAAGTAACATGATGCCAAAAACTGACATGGCTGAAACATTGGACAACAGTTTCATGTGAATTTTTCACATCTGAATGACACCAGTCTGCTTACTAAAGTCAGTATTTAGACTGATATGTGTCCCTTTTTTTCATTTATTGAGTGGCAGAAAATATAGATGTCTTTCCTTCAAATAATTATTATTATTGAATTTCCCTTCTGGGATGAATAAAGTATTTTTTTCATAAGATTTTGGTCAGGTTATTGATTAGGTTAGTAAAATAATACACTGTTTTTCTCAGCTTGTCTTTGACGTTGTTATTTGTATGCCTATGGTGAGAGATCCAGGAAGTCACCTCAACATAGCTTGATAAAAATAGTGCTTTGAATCATACCTTTTGTCTTTCGGTTAAAACTAAAGATGCCAGAAAGGTAACTCTGGTTCAAAGTAATTTATTTTTGGTCACAGTGGTAGAAAAGTTTGACATTGCTAGTTTATACTGTCCCTCCAATCTCTGTCCGGCTTTGTAGGCAGTTTAGTTTAGTGACTATAATTATGTGTTCAAGCATTCATCATTTATAAAAAAAAAAAATCAATATCTTTTAAAGACAGGGTGTTAAGAGGGTGCTTGGTCACCTGTGTGGCATTATAAAGCTTTTCATGTAATTTGTTCAACAAGGTGGCTCAGTCTACATGAGGTCAGATCTTCAGTAGACCGTATAATGCACATTTAGTATTTTTTAATTTTTTGTAGAATGCTGATAGCCATAATATTACCACGAGTGTCACTACTGCTGAAATTGCTGAGTTGCCTGTTTCTTGGCAGATGCTTGATGCTGCTGCTGACAATTCACTTATCTTTCTTTTACACCAACAGTTACAATCAAACCAAAAGCATGCTGTGTTGGCTTTCCATCAAAACCTAAACAATACCATGTGTAGTTGTAGAAAACTTTCTCTAAACCTTGCTGTGTGATTGGGTTTTTATTGCTCAATTTTTGCTGCACAATTGACAATGGTAGATTTCTCTGTTGCTGTCTTTATGTCTACTGATAGTGATTTGATCAAAGCTGTCTGCTAGTCAAAGCTAACAGTTGATGTGTTGCTACATTCAAATACTTGATCAGGCTTTCATTACATTACTACATGCTTGCAACATTATCTGATGACAGACCAAATTATCCTGGGATCACCTGTAATGAGCTTTTTGAGGGAACTGAGAGAACTGCAAGTCCAAAATGTTGATTTTTTATTATTGTTGCAACAATGTAGAAACAAAGCTTTATCATGAAAGTCAAACATCTGCTAGGAAAGATGGGAGTTGTTTGCTTGAAGGAAAATGTGTTTTGAAATTTGTGCAGTCATAGTGTTACAAAAACGGCAATGCTATTAGTCATTAACCGCATTGAGTAGATATTGGTTTTATGTGAATGGATCTATTTTTTTTACAGGTCTACCAAGTATTGCAAAGAATAGTCCTTGATTTTACTGTGGTCATCTGCTTATACCATGTGGAAGAATAGACGTTTTTCAAGTAAATACTCATTCTGTCTCCTTCAGATGACAATGGATGAGAAATATGTGAACAACATCTGGGACCTTCTAAAGAATGCCATACAGGAGATTCAGAGGAAGAACAACAGCGGGCTGAGCTTTGAGGAGCTGTACAGGAATGCCTACACCATGGTGCTCCACAAGCATGGAGAGAAGCTCTACACGGGCCTGAGGGAGGTTGTCACTGAGCACCTCATCAACAAAGTAAAGAAACATTTTCCTTTCCAATAGGGATGTCACAATAACAGAAATATTGTAGTTGGTACCAATACCACTACAATTCTAAGATCCTCTATACCAATTACAATACTACAGCAAAAAATAAACCACTCTTGTATAAAAAAATAAAAAAAAACTTGGGATGGAGCTTTCTTGAAACAAAAAGATGTTACTTATTTGAAACAATATTATACAAAAAAAAAACAAAGAACTGTTTTTTTATGGTGGTATAGCATTGCTACAGCAGTGCCTTCCTTCTTGATATATGACAAGCAAGAATGCATATGATAAATAGGTTATGAGTATTAAATGTTTGAAAAAATATTGCCATAAAAACAACAAACTGTGGAATGTAGCCTTCAAGTATTTAAGACAAACAACACTGTCTTGTGAAACTCACTTATCCAGTTTATTTGTGAGGACATCATGTAAATTTTTGTCATATTTTCGGCGCCTCTGAGAAGCTACAAATATCGTCTGCTATGTGTGAGTTGATCTACTTTGTGCCTGTTTTTCCTGCTTAGCATCCTCATCATGCTGATATTAGGAAATATGAGGAAAACCACAGAGGCTGCTACACACAGCATGCTAACTCTCACACACACACACACACGTACATTTTTATATGTTGACAGGATGAGCAGTATTGTCAGTAGCCTACTAATGTTATCAGCAGAACTCAGAGAGGTATCCTATGAAGAGAGATTAATGGGTTAGCGAGCTATGTTCAGGCTACAACCAGAGTTGTCAGTGCTATGAAGGTGGCTGTCTTTTAACCTGGCTGTAGATCACCATGGTAACCTATGGTGCATAGCAGAGTTTGGGATTTAAATCGGCCATAAGAAGTGCCACCCTTTCAGCAGTTTTTTCTTGAAGTTATTGTCTATGATGGACTTTTATGTTATATATGCAAACCTGTTGTCCATCCATCCATCCATTATCTATACACCGCTTAATCCTCACGAGGGTCGCAGGGGGACTGGAGTCTATCCCAGCCGACTTAGGGCGAAGGCAGGGGACACCCTGGACAGTTCGTCAGTCTATCGCAGGGCCACACTTAGAGACAGACAACCAAGCACACTCACATTCACACCTACGGACAATTTAGAATCACCAATTAACCTCAACATGTTTTTGGACTGTGTGGGAGGAAGCCAGGGAACCCACGCTGCACGGAGAGAACATGCAAACTCTGCAAACCTGTTGTGTCATATGTTAATAATGCCACTGACTGAAGCCGTGCGGATACAGCAGCCCAAACTGTATGTGTCATGTTGCCATGGGAACCTATACTAATATTGTGCTTGGTCCTGATTTGCTGCCAAGTCCATTTTACACTGCTGGCATTGCCGCTAACAGAACACAGATCGGAAAATTGATTTGTCTATTGGTGAATATTCAATCAGTAACATTAATTTGTATTTGGATAAAAACTAGAGTAATTTCCACTTGTCTTTTATTACGGGACAGAGTCATACAAGAAATGCCCTTGTTTATGCTGATGCTTAAATGTATGAAGTTTAAAGTTTCAGAGCTTCCATGTGCAGCTGTTGTAATAGAAATACAAAGTAAAATGAGTGTAAAAACAATACTAAATTATACAATTAATAATTTTCTACCGGCATTCCTCCCCGGCATCATTTCTTAAAAATACAGTTTGACATTCCTCATAGCGCACCATTATAACCGCTTGCTGCTCGTGACTGAAGTAGGCCGCCCATCATTGGTTTATTTTGTGAGAAAGAAGAGTCACAGTCACATGACACATCAAACATCTCCTTTTGTGGGAGTTGCACAGGAACCATTGAAGAAAACCTGCGTTGTTAAAGACAGCTGATAGCCACTATAGTGATACCCATTACCCTGATTGGGGTTTTAGTGCAACCAAGCTACACAAAGAAAAGCCTGGCTTTGTCGGACTTGCTTAGTAATGCAACTCTCAGGTCACGTTTTGAGCTATTGCTAGAGTGTGAACAATGTGGTCACATGTTGTTCATATAAAATAACAACTAAAACTCTCTGTGCTTAAAATCTGTGTACAGATCCAGATGTCTGCCTTTGAGCTGCTTACATCAGTTTGAGGTGTCTCCCCTGTTTGTCCAGAAATGAGACGATTTGCATTCTTATCTTTTGGACGTCTGTACCCCGTCCCCAATTATGGACTCATGCACTTATATTTTCATTTGCAACTTAGACCTGTTGCTCCACCTATGAAAGCTGCGATACTTCAAGTACCTTTGTTATCGAGAAAGTACCGTCCCTTTTTCAGAATATCCGTTCTCGTGACATCCATGCTCTCCAATACAGCTCTGTTAAAAATGCTGCACAGAATGCTGATGTGAGAACTGATTTATCCATAATGACCTACTGTTTAGATAACGTTATGTGCTGTTTGTATTTTCAGGTGCGGGAAGATGTTCTAAACTCTCTAAATAATAACTTTCTGCAAACACTGAATCAGGCCTGGAATGACCATCAAACTGCCATGGTCATGATCAGAGATATCCTCATGTACATGGTAGGTATGCTGCTGTGTGTTTTGTCTTGCTCGTTTCATAGAATTGTGTTGTTCTGTCGTTGCACATTAATTAGTGTATGAAATCAGTTCACTTTTCTGTCAGTGGGAAAAGCCTAGAATGTGTTTTTAGTTGTGTATCCGGTCTTTTTCTACGCAGGCGAGTTATGGCGTTTGTATTTTTGTGCTTTTCACGACACGGCCTTTTGTTTCCAACTGTTACCGGTCTTCATCTACATCCTATTTTGGACTTTGATTGTAAGGTTCTATTTTATTTGGGAACCCAACAATGAGGCTTTGTTGCTGTAGTTATTTGTTTTGCTGGAAAATTGGCAGGACTAGTTGATTTACCTTTGCCAGCACCAGGTCCAGAGAGTGTGTGTGGGGTTGTGTGTGTGAGTGATTGAGCCCTTGAGATAAGTGCAAGTGTAGTCTAAACAATGGCACAGTCAGAACAGAGACTACAGAGCTCTCCTGGGGTCCATTTGTTCTACACTCTCCTCTTTCCTGTCCTGCTTTACCCCAGGCAGTTGGCTCTCTGTTGTTGTTTCACTGCTGCAGCCTCACCAAGGCTGCGCGGTGAGAGCTGGGGCCCCCGTTCTCTCTGTGTGTGTGGATTAACGTTTTAGCTGGATTAAATTATTGACGATTTTGGCGTGATCCCAGATTTCTCGGTTCTTCGAAACAGTTGTTGGAGCGGTTGTCACAGCAACATATCCGTGAGGTCAAACCTACTCGGGAGCGGGTTCAATGTAAACAAGATTAGATGACGAACTTCAATCCACCCAGCACGGGCGCACCATTCGTGCAGGAGGGCCAGTTGCGATCGGTGCATTGATAGCAAGAGAAGCAGTCAGTCACTATCTCCTCATCTAATACATCACCTGTGTTGTCATTATGACTGAATCTAAGTGCAGCATGCCACAGGGCCTTTGATAATAAGCTACACCTGTGACGCAAACAGTAGGAATGTCCAATGAGGTCGTTTAACCTGAAATGAAGTCACCACTGCTGCATCCTGCCAGCGGCTCTGACGAAGATATATTTTGGCGGATAGGTGGCTCTTCAGCTAGGGTCAAGTGTGGCCCAGATATTCCTTGTTTTGATTCTGCTGTCTTTATGTGTTTTAAAGGTCCTATATTGTGCACCTTTTCAGCAAATGGATGATCACACGTCCCCACAAAGCATCTTTCAGTTTTGAAGCTATTTTGAACAGGCTGTTATGTGTCTGTAGCTTTAAATGCAGATGAGCATCCTGTTCAGGAAGAAGACTCCCTGTCTGTGGTTGACAGCCAACCTCGCAAGTTGTTGAAGTATAAGTAGCCCTTATTCTTCAACAGCTTTTACTGCACAAGTTTGTGACAACCACAAAACAGAATAAAATGAATTTTCACGATATAGGACTTTTAAAAGAAGCAAAAGGCATTAATGGCCTTGTGGCCTATTAAGTTATAGATCAGTAGAAAAAAGCCATTATGATGAATAGTTTAATATTTCAGTTTAACTTGTCCCCAAGTCCTTTGCATTTTGCTACGCGCTTTAGAATAGAATAATAGAATAGAATGCTTTTTATTGTCATCATACACAAGGTACAACGAAATTAAAATATTTAAATATTCTTTAAATATTAAAGAATAAATGATAAGATCAGTGGACGCACAAAAAGTTGCCACAGTGCCGAACTAAAAATGTATCGCTTTTCATTGCCTTCTGCTTTTTGAATGTAATTCTCCTGCGGCTTTGTAGAAAGAACAGAGTCCAGTTGTTGTTTTTGTTGTTGCCTGCCTGCTGACCTCTAGAGGAGAGCGAGAAAAACAGCAAGTTTCACTCACCAGTCACCACATGTATTCACCTTGTTAGAAGCCACTCTCTGTAAACTTTGTATTATTTGTTCCCATTAATACTGTGTGGAGAATACATGATTTTTTTCCCCCTCTTTTATCCTCTGTTACCTGCTGTGTGATTATTTTTTAGAAGTCTTTGCTTATTTAGAGCTCTAATCAGAAAACACATCAGGAGGCCAAGTGTTATCCACTCATAAAACAGGCAGTTGGAAAACGGTAAGACTAAAATAAAGACACCCTTTTACACATTTAAACAGAAAACAGTATTGCAAGTCACATTACCATCACGTGGTATATTCTAGATAGACCTCTTTTGAAGTGGCCCTGGCTAAAGTTTATCATTTTGTACTGAAATTCGTCATGTTAAATTGTGTTACTGAACATGTTATCACCATCTTGAATATTTATACCATTTCGACGGGGTTTATGTCATAACTTTCTGTTTTTTGGGAGATTATTCAGACACTGGCCAGTCATTTATTTTGGCTGTCAAATGAACTTGTAAAATCTTTGTAACCTGTCAGAGGGAATGTGAGTATAAAATGAAAGCTTTGCTGGAATATCAGGCCTTTTATGAGAGTTTGAAATTGCAAAAGATATATATATATATAGTTTTTAAATACTGATAAGCATTGGAAAAGACTTGAAGTACATTCTTGAATACATAATATGTCTATAACTTTCATAATAGCCCGTATACTCTTAGATTCACTCAGTGTCAATGACAATGCAACATTTCCTTTGTTTGCAGATTTTACAGTTGCACCTTTTGTAAACATATCCCGCGGTTGGGTAGTAACTCCACACAGAACATCTGCAGGAAGCCCTTATGATTTCTTTATTTTCTTATAACAAATGAATGTATTTTCCAAATGAGTGATTTTTAGGAAGCGACATTATTGCCAGCAGGATTGCTAGGCAGCACATGTAGTGGAAGAACATCCCATCAGGCGTCTTGTACGGTCTATTCACAGACGGATCACTGCTTGCTTTTAACTCTAACGGGGGACATGCACAGTACTGAACTTATTACAGTTGTCAGTTTTTATTACGTTGGATATGGTGCTGACCCTATTTTTGTTTGCATCTTTCATTAGAAGTCAAGGAATGCTGGTGTACATAAACGAAACAAGCTGTTTTGCCTTTACAATACAATAGAGCCGAATGTATTGTCCCGTGTGTTGTTTGAAGCCTCAGTCTGTCGACGTGTACATTTGAGTCGTCAGATCATAACACTTCTTTCCATACATGAAATAACTTTTTTTTTGCCCCATTGTTATGTCTTCTAGGACCGGGTCTACGTTCAGCAGAACAATGTGGAGAATGTGTACAACCTCGGCCTCATCATATTCAGGGACCAGGTGGTGCGCTATGGCTGCATTCGAGACCACCTACGGCAGACGTTACTGGACATGATTGCACGTGAGAGGAAGGGCGAAGTTGTCGACAGGTATGCAGGAGTAGTGCAGCTTAATCTAAAGCTTCCTGTACCTGTAGGGCCACTCTTAACAACTTTCTTAAATAAGTGTCTTGATTTTTTATTTTTTTCTATCGTCAATGCATTGCAGGGGAGCTATAAGAAATGCCTGCCAGATGCTGATGATTCTTGGCCTGGATGGCAGGTCTGTATATGAGGAGGACTTTGAGGGCCCTTTCTTAGATATGTCAGCTGAATTCTTCCAGGTGAGTCTCTGCTTGGTGCTTTGTGCTCCGTGTTTTTGTTACTATTGATTTTTTTTTTGTTGAAATATATATATCTAAAACAACACACTCTATCTGACCTTTTCAGATGGAGAGCCAAAAGTTCCTTGCAGAAAACAGTGCCAGTGTCTACATAAAGAAGGTAGAGGCCAGAATCAATGAAGAAATTGAGCGAGTTATGCACTGCCTGGACAAGTCTACAGAGGAGCCTATTGTCAAGGTTGTGGAAAGGGAACTCATTTCTAAACACATGAAAACCATTGTGGAAATGGAGAACTCTGGCTTGGTCCATATGCTCAAGAATGGCAAAACAGAAGGTAAAAGCTTTAGTTCATTAAGGTTTTTCTCTGATTCTGATTTTCATTTTGATGTGTATAGAAAACAAGCCAAAGAAACACCAAAGAATTATCTTTTTGTTTCTTATTGTTTTTCAAATCGTGTCTCATTCCCAGACCTGGCATGCATGTACAAGCTGTTCAGTCGTGTGCCAAATGGCCTGAAAACAATGTGCGAGTGTATGAGCTCTTACCTGAGGGAACAAGGCAAGGCTCTGGTGTCAGAAGAGGGAGAGGGCAAGAACCCCGTCGACTATATCCAGGTACGCTGGTTTAACAGGGTGTATGAAAACACACACACACAAAAAACTTTCTAAAACTTGAATACTTTGGGGACTTGGCTTAAAATTCTAAGAGAGAAATGTATTGTGCCGGATGATATCAGCCCTTTTGTGTCTGCCTCCTCAACAGGGTTTGCTAGACCTGAAGACGCGTTTTGATCGTTTCCTCCTCGAGTCCTTCAACAATGACAGACTCTTCAAACAAACCATAGCTGGAGACTTTGAGTATTTCTTAAACCTCAACTCCCGCTCACCAGAGTACCTGTCTCTCTTCATTGATGATAAGCTCAAGAAGGGAGTCAAAGGGGTATGTGGCCTCTCAGAAATATTGCTTAAGCGCAGCTGTAACGTGTTTTTTTTTTTTTTTTTCTGCAGGCATACACTTGGACTGTACATTCCCTCATTTTTTTTTTTTCCTCCCCCCGTCTTGTTTAACCAGTTGACAGAACAGGAGGTGGAGTCGATTCTTGACAAGGCCATGGTGTTGTTCAGGTTTATGCAAGAGAAGGATGTGTTTGAAAGGTACTACAAGCAGCATCTGGGCCGCCGGCTGCTCAGCAACAAGAGTGTCTCGGACGATTCAGAAAAAAACATGATCTCAAAGCTCAAGGTAAAAAAGGAAAAAAAAAAACGTTCTGGGTACAGATTTGTGCACATACTTCTATAGGTACTGCTCCTCACATTGTAGATCTCGTATAGCTGCTCATATTGCTCTGTCTTAACCCTGTTTGAATCCTTGCCAACAGTCTGAGCACATTGTTCCCTATCTTTCTCCTCTGCAGACGGAATGTGGATGTCAGTTCACCTCAAAACTGGAAGGAATGTTCAGAGACATGAGCATCTCCAACACTACCATGGATGAGTTTAGGCAGCACATACAGACCACATCGGTAAGGCAGTTACCGAGATCAAAGCAAGAAAACACATAATGGCCCACATTTCACATGAATTACTGTTGATGAATCACAAGATTTGAAAGCCATAATTCAGCTGATTGCATATTTGATCATTAGTACATCAGAATGTTACAAAACGTAAACAAGAAAACAAGCCAACTTGTAATGGTGATGTACTTGTTATATCTGTGAGAGGAATTCTTTCAAACTTCCTTTACTCCCTTTCAGGCATCTCTAAGTGGTGTGGACCTTACAGTAAGGGTCCTCACTACTGGCTACTGGCCTACACAGTCTGCAACACCCAAATGCACCATCCCCCCTGCTCCTAGACACGCCTTTGAAGTCTTCAGACGGTAGTGCACTTCAGTATTTTGCTACACCAACAAGGGTTCAGTGTCCCATTATGTGGTCACAAAAGAACATGGTCCTTGCTTTTCTTTTTCAGGTTTTACCTTGCTAAGCACAGTGGCAGGCAGCTCACACTGCAGCACCACATGGGTGGGGCAGACCTCAACGCAACTTTCTATGGGGCTGTTAAAAAGGTAAACGCTAAAGTTTAAAAGTGCAGCTTTTAGTATTCAAATTTGGTTAATTTAATGTTAAATTTAGTTTAAGTTAATGTAGTATTTTGCAAGTTTAGAGTCTTAGTTCCCCTCTCTTCAACCTTATCTGCAGGAGGATGGCTCAGAGGTGGGCGTGGGAGGTGCCCAGGTGACCGGTTCTAACACCCGGAAGCACATACTGCAGGTCTCCACCTTCCAGATGACCATCCTCATGCTCTTCAACAACAGAGAAAAGTGCACTTTTGAGGTGGGAGCACAGCGCAGCAACTTAATCTGACCCTCTGCATCTCACTCTTCCATCAGATGTTTTTGTTTCATTTCTTTTCTTTATTTTTTAAAACATTTTGTACAACTTTCTTGCATCCCTCTAAGCGAGGACAGAACTTCATAATAATAATAATCTGCGTCCCCCTTTTGAAAAAAGTATTCCCCATCTTGTCCCCTTCCATAGGAGATTCAGCAGGAGACAGATATTCCAGAGCGAGAGTTGGTGCGAGCGTTGCAGTCTTTGGCCTGTGGGAAACCCACACAGCGAGTTCTCACCAAGGAGCCAAAGTCCAAGGAGATAGAAAACGGCCATGTGTTTACAGTCAATGATCAGTTTACTTCCAAGCTGCACAGAGTCAAAATACAGACAGGTGAGCAAAGTCTTTGTACAATACACTATAGAGTGTGTGTATAGTATATAATGTGTATATAATGCATAGTAAAAGTACCTCAACTCTGGACCAACGTATGTCCACTGCTGACTGGAACAGAAACTGTTTAAAGAGTTTCATTTATAGAAAGCTGAAACAGCACATTTCTTTCGATGTTCAAAGCTAAAAAGATCATCTAGTATTCTTTTAGCAAACACTTATAATTACAGTTTCGACACCACTTGTACAGCGCTGAGCTCAGAATGTATCCAGAATAACCTTATAGTTTATCAGAGACATAAATAAAGTCCTCTGTTCAAAAATATTTTGCCATGGAGGCTACATAACAAGCTAGCCACAAAGTTGGGTTTGATCTCTTCCTTTCTGTAACATAAAACAATACTTTGAGGATGTTTTTTTTTGCATTCCCCCCCCCCAATAACCTCATCTTTTAACTGCATCCGATTTTACCAGTTGCTGCTAAACAAGGGGAGTCAGACCCCGAAAGAAAAGAGACTCGGCAGAAAGTGGATGACGACAGGAAGCATGAGATTGAGGCAGCCATTGTTCGAATCATGAAGTCAAGGAAGAAGATGCAACATAATGTCCTGGTAGCAGAGGTAAGGAACACACTTTAGAATCCAAATGAGGAACAAATTCAGTTGCTTTCCATCTTTTCCATTTCTTGATGCCAGATGTTTTTATAATGACGCTGTGTAAGATGTCACTAAAAGGTACAGTTCCCTTAGATTTTGTGACTTTGTGTCTCTTCAGGTGACTCAGCAGCTCAGGGCACGTTTTCTTCCCAGTCCTGTGGTTATCAAGAAGCGCATAGAAGGACTAATAGAAAGAGAATACTTGGCGAGGACGCCAGAGGATCGTAAAGTGTACACCTACGTTGCATAGAAGATGAACTGTGGATGGGAGGAGGAGGAGGAGGAGACTGGACGGGGAAAATTGGAATCGTTTGTTTTCTTTGGACTGTTGTTACGCATGGACTGGAAGTTTCTTTTAAAGACAAGCCCTGGGAACCTGATTCATCGACCTTACAAAAACACAGTAAACACACACGAATGGGGAATAAAATCTTTGGCGCATAATATTAAAAAAAATAAAAATAAACAACAATCCACCAGATCTTCTAGATGATTTTTAAATCAGGCCCAGTCTTCCTATTCCCTGTGAGTTTTAACATGGATGGATCCAGCTTCAAGCTTTTCACTGTTTTACCCTTGTAGAGATCAAACTTGCAAAGAATCCCTTGGGAAAAATGTGAATGCACCACATTATTTTTTTTTTTTGTTTTGTTTCAATACTGTATAAAAATAATAAAATTCTGAAAAACAGCAAATGTGGATTGTTACAAAATAAAATGAGTATTGATGCTCTAGTTTGTCATAGAAACGCACTGATCATCTTCTACATTTGTCTCTTACGTATCAGTGTGAAAACATTTATTTAATAATGATTTATTTTGTATGTTTCCACCCCAAATTGTCAGATTTTTTAATTGGAGATGATTACTGGCATTTTTCATTTTCCATCTATTGGTCTAGCTTTTAATGTATTATAATTGGTGTAAATGCTGGACAATGTGGTGCCATGCAGGAGATAGTGTAGCTGGGTCTATTGAGATCTATTTCACAAGGCACTATTTACCGTAGTACTGCAATTTAAGCCTGCAGGCACTGATGCAAATTTTCAAACGTGAACCAAAACAGTCCCACAAACCATCAATATAACAGGCAAATTTCACATGCATTGACTAACTGCTTTGGATATATTCAACTCAAGTCAGTTACTTAGTCTTTAATCAGTAGTTCATGACAGTTTCAGAACAAACAGTCCAGTTGACAACACAGGTCAAGATTATGTGACACTGAACAGTAACTGTACAATTAGTGAACAAGGTTAGGAGGTGCATAAGGCTAAATATGGCAAACAGTGTTGCGTTTTCCAGTAACTTCTCATGTTGGTTACTAACACTTTAAAGGTTCAGTGGCATGTAACAGAATCTAGACAAACTGAGGTCTGGAGGGGCTCAGGGGACCATTAAGATCCACATCAGGTTGTAACTGAATGGCTTTGGCCAGAGTCTCCAGCTGGGTCACGAAGCTCTGGATCTCTTCAGCGGAACTGTGAGTCCAGGCCAGAGGGAGGTGGACGGGAACCGGCTTACGATCTGCAACACAAATCATCTGTCAGGACGCCAGATGACGGTGATGTCTTTATTCACCTGAGAAGGTTGAACAGCCCTGCTCACCTTGGAAGAACTGCCCGCTGCATGTTCTGGAAGCAACTCTGGACAAGGCCAACCACACCACGGTGTCGGCTCCTTGTTCGACGCCGCGCAGCCTGTCTCCCATCATGTGGTGGAACTGAGGCATTGATGAGGAAACAGCTGGAAACAGGAAATTATTAGCAGTCATTGGTGTATGAGTAAGGTTAATATTTCAACAACAACAAAAAAAACCAACTCAGATTCTCTCCTACATGTTGGTCAGTCTTTGTTGAAAACGTTGTGAGCGCTTTTAAAAGGCGTTTTTGAGGAACAAACTAATTATTCGAACACAGAAAGAGAAACCGCAGTAATACATTCGCTGGCCCTTTGGGTTGGTCCCCTACTGAGACGGTACCTGGTGTATCTACCCAGCCTGGATGCATGACAGAGAAGTGAATGACAGGGTTGGCTTTGGCCCAGTGTTGTGTCAGCACCACCTGCTGTCTCTGCAAAGAAACAACACCTCATTTAAACCTCCATCTAGTATCTTTTCGTCCATCTTCTTCATGCCTTTAAATGTATCACAGAGTTGTGTTTACTTATTTATTTTAAGGAAAACCAAACCACTACACCCCACACACACGTCTAAGTACCACATCGAATGATCTCATTTTAAAATGCCAGCCTCCTCTTTGGGATCACATCTTCCTCCTCTCCTACCTTATTCTGTGCGTAGATCATGACGCCATCAAAGTAGCCCTTCTCCGACTGCAAGTCATCCACTCGGAGTTTCTGGACCAGCATGCCTCCCGAGGACACGGTGATCTAACGGAGAAAGAGTCGCAGCACTGTGCTTAGACAACAGCCACTACAGCCTGGACAAAAGTGGCATTATGCTGTCCACATGATGCAGATGAAGACTCCGTTTGTGTGTGTTTGTGCGTGTAATCATACCACTCTTGGATCACGGCTCTTCTGTAGAAGTGGTATGAGAGTCTGCGTGAGGATGTACACTCCTACGGAGATTGGGGGGCAGATTATAAAAGTGTATCACAGCTTTGACACTCCTCTGACTGTTAGATTCAGGTCTCACCCATAGTGTTGGTGGCAAAGTTCTTCTCCAGTCCCTCAGCGGTCAGCTCTCTCTTGTGCACCATACAGCCTGCGTTGTTTATCTGCCACAGCGTAGGAAAGAACAGACAGTTGAGATCATTCGTAGTATTAAGAAATAAGGATGTGAAAGTAGTTCACCTACCAACACATTCAGTGATGGATACTCCTTCTTGAAGGCCTCCGCAAACTCCCAGACTTTGCGTGTCTGTGACATGTCCACAATATGGATGTATACCTCCTAGAAGAACAAGATACAGTCGTCCTCAAATGTATTCATAGCCTCCCATTAAAGAAGGATAAAAGAAAAATAAATAATATTTTTTTTATTTTTGAAAATCATGACATTGAATTGAATTGTGGTTCAACACAAATATTAAAAAAAACAAGCATGATGGGACCTAAACTAATATTTTATTGAACAACCCTTTGAGTCAATCACTGCAATCAATTTGTCCAGGAAAGTTTTTTTTTTTTTTTTAACTATTCTTTTAGACCACAATTCAAAAGCAGTGTGTCTTACTTCACTAAAGTATAATTTAGCAAATTTTTATTTATTATTACTTTTGTCAGTTTCTAGTTATTTGAGTGACTATTGTGAATTTTGTCTTTTCTTTAACGGAAGGGTATGAATACATTTGAGGACGACTGTAAGTACCTTCTCTTTTTTTTTTCTCACAAATTATCACATTTTAATATTTGTCACTTCTTTGTTTGCTTTTTATTGCAAGCATGTGCAAAGCTACCACACCCACCGTGTTCCCAGACTCATTGACGATGTCTGTCCTGGCCTCCTCTGCTTTATCTCTGTTCCTACACACCATGTGGACCGTCCCACCTGGAGATAAAAATTTGTAAAAAACCATCGTCACCCTTAAATTTCTATCAATATCAGGTGTGTGACAAAGAGCACACCTCTCCAAAATTGTACCTTTCTTGGCTATAGCCATGGCTGTTGCTCTGCCAATTCCACTGTTGGCCCCAGTGACCATAAAAGACCTTCCCACGACAGATACGTTCAGGTCTTGGGGCTCAAAGTCTTTAGATGCAGCCTCATATCCTTTTCTGAAGGCAACACAGAAAACATCCTGATCAATATAGGTGTCAAAGTTAAGAGAGGGTTATTGATTTCTTTTCTTTTTTTTTTAAGGCAGCTTAAAGATTGATTGAATCTGTTCGCCGTTCAACACATTTTAACTCCAGCACAGTTGGGTGATGTGAATGTCATCCTCAAGACGCTCAATAGAACAATTGTAATTGTGCATAAAGGCCAGTTTGTGCAGCGACGGGTGCCACACAGCGATCAGACCTTCTGTTAAGAAGCCTTTAGGCTTAAATCAATGACATGAAAATCATTTTTATCCAACAATAAATCCTACATTTAGATAGTAAACACACTGAACAAACAATAGAGTTGCAATCACCAAGCATGCCCTGCCTCTGTTTGACCACACATCCAGCAGTATACATCAGCACCAAAAGTGATGTGGTACTAACCTGGTGTAATGATGGATCCCGTTCAAAAACCAGATGGCATTTCGGTACATGGACATGATTTCATGTGTTCAACAATCCTCCAAAAAAAAAAGTGTTTTTGTCCAGTCCTTGTGCAACACTGTGACAGATCAGCATCACATGAGGCAACAGGAGGAGAGAAGGGGGCACTTGCTGCTCTCTATCGACACTAAACGGGAATAACACTAAAAAAAAAAAGCACACCCTGACAGTGCAGTAAGTAAAAGTTTGACCAGCTCATTCATTAACATGCTTCCTGTTAAGTCTGCAAGTCACGTGGGCTAAAGGTTGGGCGGATCCTCTGTAACACAAACCTACTACGACCAATCCGGAGGGGCGGTGACACGTCTGCTCCTCCGGGCGGCCGGGAGGGCGGAGTTAACCAACTTCTACACTGGCTCCCCAAACGCTCCGAGGATCAGATATGCGTTCGGCCGGACCGTCTGACCCTTTGTGAGGGTTAAAGTGCACCATTTCTAATCTTCTGATAGCGTTTTAAGGCTCCTGGCGACGCGTCAAAAATGGTAAGTGCTTGTCCGGGGGACTGTTAGCTAGCCGCACCCCGCCGCTCACCTGTCGCACCTGTCGTCGCTGACAGGTAGCTAAAAGTACCACTTCCTCATTGACGCAGGGGCCGTTTTTGTTCTTGTCAGGCCTCCAAACAGAGACTGTATTCTGGTTTTATTGCGGCTCTTATTTTTTTTAAATATCGTTTTCTAAATCCTACTTTTTTACGACAGTCGGAAACAAAGGTGTAGCTTGACTCAACCGGTCCCTTTAGTAAAACGGGTTTCGTCACTTTCCGTCGACTTCTGCTCTACTGGCAGTTCAAAGCTTTCCATAACAATTTGCCTATGGGCTTTTTACGGCAGATAAACATCTTAAACTGCCAATGCAGGGATTGGTTTTAGATCTAAACTGGTTTTGTGTCCGTTAAATAAGCTTGTATTGTTCTTTTCTGTCCAGGTGCACACAATAAAGCAACTGGTATGTCTTTTTGTTAAATCCAACTGACCTTTGACATCCCCCTTATTTATAAAAAAATATATGTATTATTATTATTACTATTGTTATTTTAGTGTTTTTACTTTATTGGCTACAGAGAAAGGTATAGCTTTGACTTTTTTATTTGTATTTATTTGTATTTATTTATTTTGCAGTCTACTCAACAGGACTTCAGCCTTTAACACTAAAAAAAAATAATTTTATATATTAAAAAAAAGTGAAATGTCTTATACTTATTTAATACATGCAATACTTCTATTTAAAAGTGACTGTTTACAAGTTCAAAATTCAAACTCTATGACTTACTGCTACCACTAATAATAATAATAATACATTTTATTTGTATTGCACTTTACATTCTGCAGGGTAAGAGAAAAGTAGTTAAGATTATTAAAACAGTTTATAAAAACAGTCAAGATAAAATAGGTTTTCAAAAAAAAAAGAAAGGAGAACCTAATAAAGGAGTTCAGCAAAAAAACAACTTAAGAATTATTTTCTGACTAAGCTCTAAAGACATCAGATAATCCGGTGTCAACGATGCCTAAAAAAAGCAGAGAATTGTGAGATGACAGCCATCTTGGTGTTTAACAAAGAGGGATACAGTGAGAAAGTGATTGCTGTCGGGCTTGAAGTCATCAAACCAGCTATTCATTACAACATCAACAAGAAAAAAAAAACAGCATCCGTCAGCCAAGAGCTGCTCTTTAAGAGTCAGAAAGCTGTGATGGAGGTGCTCTGATGATTGTTTCTAGATGTACATTGTGCAACTGTGTCGTGCATTTCAGCTGTTTATTCTTTTGAATGAAATATTGCAGTGCGAGTTTTTATGTTTGCTTGCAGTTTAATGTAGCTTATTGGGCATTTCTAGAATTTAAATTGTGCTCAGATGATCGTTGTTGCACAGCATGATTTAGAGTGGATGCACTAATGGGTCTGTGAGTGTTGAAAAGGATTTGAAGCATACAGCATACAAACGTACAGTCTTTCCTCTCAGCTCAAACTAGAGCTGCAATGATTGATCGATTAGTTGCCAACTAAAACATGAATTTACTGTTTTTTAAAGGAAAAAAACTGTCTAAATTCTCTAATTTCTGCTTCTTACATTTGAATGCTTCCTGGTTTCTTTCCTCCTCTATGACAGTAAACTGAATATGTTGGGTTCAAAACAGGACACCTTAGGGTGTTACCTTAGGGTTTGGGAAGTGCTGGTCTGACTTCCTATAGACCCAAGAGCTACCACATTTATCAAGAAAATTATTCCTTAGATTAATCTATGTAGGATATATGAACAGACACATATGCCCAAGAGGCACAAAACTTTACAGCCGGAGCTCCCCTTTGTGATTGGTCAGCTATTTTACTATTAAAAAGCTTTTCCCCTGAAAAACAGTGGATTTTCTAAACGGCCACAGAATCTCCCACTTTGGTCTTCTGTGTTACCAACTTCAACTTCAACACTTTGATCGACTCTGCTGAAGCTGAAGGCCACGTCTGCCCCCTGCACCAGACGTCGCTGCACCCACCGAGGAAACTGCAAATATCGAGCTTCTATCTCTAAACCGGTGCTTCAAAATTCAAACAAACATCCCAAAGTTTAATCCACTGCTTCGGGTGAAAAGACTTTTGAAGTCTCTGCTCCACATTTGGTTTCTCACTCTCAGATTTTCAATCAGCATTTCCATCATCTTTGTATTTTATGTTTGCTGTTATTTGTTAGTTGTTTCTTGTGTTTTCTATAGCTTACTTTCAGTCACTTTATCCGATCTTTATAGTTACCTAAGCTCTAAGTTAATTCCCTGACATTATAAAACACTCTTGACTGATCACCAAGAGCAAACTGTTTATTAGAATTATTGTGCTGACTCTGAGATTATATCGCTGGACGAATAATACAAAGGTTGGTTTTGATCGTTTTAATTAATGCAGTAATCTGCTTCATGGTGGAGATAAGTTTATCTTATTTCCCACCCCTACACTACAGTGAAAATAACCATCAGCGGCAGCCCTATAGGAAATATTGGCCCATTTTCAGCTCAAGTCCATTTATTTAATGACCATCACAGAGATGTCTCAGAAGGCATTACAACCTCGACAACCTCACGTCTGACAAGGAAAAACTCACCACAAAGCCTCGACACAAAACACAGTTTACCCCTACAGCTTCTCTAACGTCGACAATGAAAGGAAGACCTAAAGGAAGCAGCGTGGTTCCGATAGAGTTGGGAGAAAATGAACGTGTGTTTTGATTTACAGCCAAACCTGCCAAGTGTTCGGAAACCAACTCTCTAAACATCCAAACTGCAGCTCCTTAGCTCTCTTGAAAATTGGAAAGGAAACTACCTCTTCCTCAATTGTTCGTTTACATTTCTGCCTGTTAAGCCTTTTTTTTTTCTTCTTCTTTCTTTGCCTTCACTGATTGTGTTTGTCCAGTGTAGTTACTCGTTAATGAGTCATGCCAGTTCACTTGTTTGACCCGTAGCGTATGTAGGTGTGTGCATCGGGCGGCTGGTTAATGATGTCCTTCGCAGTAGCTGTGTGTGGAACGTATTCGTCTCCATTGTCTGCACGTCATATCACAGGATTTTTCCTCGCTGACAGTGTGATGTTCTCGTACCGGTAGATGCGCTTCCTGCTGCTCTTCAGTCGCCAGGGGAAGCTGCGTCTGCAGAAATGGTTCACGCCCATTCCAGAACGCGAGAAGAAGAAGATCATAAGGGAGATGACCAGCCTGGTGTTGGCCCGGCAACCACGCTCCTGCAACTTCCTGCACTGGAAAGACCTGAAGATCATTTACAAGAGGTGATTCCTGCCTACACACGTTTGTTTACCTTGCATTCATTAGTTTCTGTGTAACTTATTGAAGTGGACCATCAGCATCTCAGATCTTTTCACAGGCATTCTGCTCAACCGTCTCTGATTCAGTTGGAATTATTTTTTATCATAAACTATGGATGTTTGTAAAGCTTTAGATTGATACTTGCTGAGATATCTACCTTTACTAGTTTTTAAATTGCCTGTGGGCCAACTTTCAGCACATTGTTCTTGCGTTGAAATTTGAGGTTTCAACGGGAGTATCTCAGGAACTATTAAAAATAAAAGCCAGATTATTTTCACACTTCAGCTTAGCCATATTTAGAGACTATCTGAGCTGATATTGTAGCTAAATGAAAGAGTTTATAGATAACTCCATGTTCACAAACCTTCAGAAAACCCACTTATCCATCGTCTACCTGAGACAACATCGACCAAACTTAAATGATCTCTATTGTTGTCATTTGTCAAATCCACTCAGCTTCACTTTGATTGATATCATCTCAAGTAAACGACAAAAAAAAATTTCTGAAAATCTACACAAATGGAGTTTTCTGTTTTTGCAAATGAACTCTTCAGTTGTTCAATAGCATCATGAGAAATAACAGGGAACGTTTCAGGTTTTCATCTTTAAATGTTCCTGAGGTATTGTTGCTGAAACATTTTTTTAAAAAATGTGCTAAAAGTAGGTTGGCAGCCATTTTTTAAAACATTTATCTCGGAAAGTATTTGATATATCAAGCTAAAATTTTTACAAATGTCTTTTTAAAAATCTATATTTCATCAAAGTGTTGAGCAGATTAGAAATGGTCGCGCAGAACTAGTTCTAAGATTTTGATGATTTGACCCCATTGGACTTCATAATACCACTTGACAGTCATCCTTATGTCCACTTCTCCTCAGGTATGCAAGCTTGTACTTCTGCTTGGCCATAGAAAACCAGGAGAATGAGCTATTAGCCCTGGAGGTTATTCATCGCTACGTGGAGCTGCTGGACAAATACTTTGGCAATGTATTCCACTCTCTTGTGTTCGTTATGTAGCTATAGTACGAAATCTAATGTTAAGATGTGATGGCTGTTTCAATCCAGAGCATATTACTGTTGACCTTTATATGGGCATGTTTCATCCCAAAAAACAATCTACATATTTTGTGAACTAAATTCTCTTATTTGATAATAACTACAGTAACAGACGTCTTCCCTCCTCTCAGGTGTGTGAGCTGGACATAATCTTTAACTTTGAAAAGGCCTATTTTATCCTGGATGAGTTTCTAATGGGAGGAGAGATACAAGAAACCTCCAAACAGATTGTGAATCGCTGCATCGAATCCTCGGACATGTTACAGGAGGTGAGACGCGCCGGAGCATACACATGAAATGAATTCGCAACGAAACGCGTACCTCCTCGCATCTGTGGTGTGAGCATGTAACATCTGTTGCATGACTCAGTGCACTTAAAGCGACAGTGACGTGTTTTCAAATGTAGTTTAGACGTGATTACATCCTGTTTTGTTTTTGTTTTTTCTTTAAACTATGGCTGTGGGGTACTTTTTAAAAGGTCTCGATGTGTGAAATCGGTCTGACATGGGAACTTTGAGTTCATTGGTGTGAGTGTGAACTAGTTGCAGTCGTGTAGTGAGTTCAATTAACAATGGTGCTGCTGAGTCGCTGGTGTGCCTTTTGTCTTTCTCGTAGCTAAAAGGCATGTGGATATTAGCTTTTTTTTTGTCATTTCAAATAGATTTGTGTTCATGCTGCTGTTTTCTTACCCCTCTCTGTGTGCATTTCTCTCTCTCTCTCTCTCTCTGCCAGTGTTATTGCGAGGGAGAGACAGATTTTCCTGGAACGTGTTTTAGAATTTTAGTGTTTGGCTGACGCTTGCTGCTCTCCCTGTAGGCTCATGGCTCTGTGTGGTACGGTAGTTTAACTGGGTGTGTTGTTCTGTGCTTCTGAGTAGGGCTGACTAACACTTTTAATCTAGAGTTGGATTATGTGCCGCGTAGCCTCTCATTCATTTTGACCATTATCGCTTCAGGATGACAGCAGTGAGTGGTATGAGGTGGAGCTGTTTGGATGACCTTGAATATGGACAGAAAGGTTAGATGTTGTGCTTGTGTTAGTTACCTACCGTGTGTTGGTGTGCTCAGCACTTAGTGTAGGTGATGTGTAGATGTGTGCCTGTGAATAATAATTGTATTATAATGATTTTTTTTGTTTGTTTTGTTTCTTTGCTGGGTGTTTGAGAATTTAATGTTTCACCCTGTTGTGCCTCTTTTTCTAGACCATGGAGGAGTATATGAGCAAACCTGCATTTTAACCTGTGGATTAAAGGGCATTGAAAAAAAACAAAACAACAACAACAGCGGGGAGGAATACAGGAGCCGGATGTACTGTATGTGAGTCAAAGAAGATTCTGAAATGGACTTTTATTCACTGAACATTTTAGTAAAGAAGGCATATCAAATGCCTGCTTGCTTTCTGCCTGAAGCACGTCTGCATGTGTTTTCATTTGAGAGTTGTTTTTTTTCAAAGATTCTTTCACACCATGTGCTGTTATTAAAATGAAATGAAGTCGTAATAAAGGACGGGGAGGGAGGGGTTGAAAATCGTAACAATGAAGTGATTGTAGATTTCTAAATGTGTCACATTTACATTTAAATCATGTCTTAATATATTGGAAGTGAGTGATTTCAGTCTGGAAAGAGCCTGATTTGTTTCTTCTTTGTTTTTTTTGTAAACCGTTCTACTCCGCCACTCGAGTTTATATCTCAAACACGTCTTAAGAAAAAAAAAAAACACACATTACTGTGGAGTTACAACGTTTTGCTTCCTCGCGAGCCAATAAGCGACTGCGAGAAGTTTCTTACCGTTTAACATATTACATGTGTGGGACTTAGTTTTTAAAGGAGCAGTTGCTAGCGTGGGTGTGAGTCAGTTTGTTTTATAATGTGGAATTTACGCTGTTATGATTAAATGTTTATTTTGATAAGCAACCTGCTTCAAGTGATCTTTTTTTTTAATCATAACTATGCATTTAAATGAGTCACTTAGGAAACACTGCTTGCTTATAGTGTGTTGTGTGATTTTTACCATTTTTTTTTAATAAGGCAACATAACTCAGAAAGAAGAAAAATAATACCGCTGATGCTTTATTCATCTGTGATTGATCACACATTATTGAACATGTACAAAATGGTTTAAAAATGAGCATACATAGCACAACCACTGGTAGGCCAACAATACAGAGCTTCGCAGTATGAAAGGGTCGGAAGGCAGGCGACGGTCTGATATTTAGACTTGGAAATAATTATCCATAATAATAACATTAAATCCACTAACCCTGAATATATCACGAGTCACGACAACACTCGTTCTCAGCCCAGCACGCTGCCCCCAACCAAAAACCCCTTCTCTGTACCCCTGTCATCACACCTGTGTGTTTGTGTTTTCCCAAAGGCCCAGTCAGCATTATACGTAGTAATTTACATGTATATTCACATATGTAATTGAATAGTTTGACAGAGATGAAAAATAAGCCTTTTTTTTTTGTTCTTTTTAAACCATTACTCAGTCGATTATAGTTGGAAAATATAGGGCTGTGTTTTTTCAATGCTGTTTACAAACACCATTCATGTAAACAAACTTTTTTTAAACAACATCACAAAACTTTTGAATAATTTAGATTTTGGATTATTCATTAGGCTAACTGGCAATTTGAGAGTGACATCCAATCAAAGTGCACCTTTTAATCTCCTGTGGTATCACTGTAATATTTCCATAATGTTCTTGCAGCAAGTAGGGACTGGTATTTTTTTTTTTTTTTTTTTTTTTTTTTTTTTTTTTTTTTTTTTTTTTATTTTATTTTTACAATTATATCTGACTCGTAGGATTGCTATAGTTCATTTAGGATGATATCAATACCAGCTATAGTTCATATAATAGAAATTTGTAAACTAGATCACGTCCACCAAACTTTATTTTTGAGACAGTATAAATACTATATTCATAATTTCGTGCGTCTTGGGGAGAAGGAGGCAGGGAGGGGAGGAGGGGAGGAGGGGAGGAGCAGGCTACATCCCGGCCACTGTTTTTTCACGGTGCTCCTTCTCCTCCTCTTCGTTGACGGTTTGGGGAGCCGAGGTCTTGGCCGTGATCTCCTCCTTGCCCTGCATCTCCGTGGGTGTTACTTTCTCCTCTGTGGCCACCTCGGTCTCCCTCTTGGCCACTGGCCTTTTCTCAGCGTCCGCCTGCCCCAAGTAATCCTTCATGGCGCGCTCGTACAGCTCGTAGGGGAACTGTCCCTTCAGCTGCGCCTGGGTGTCCCTCTTGGTGATGGTGTTGGGGTACTCTGTGAGGATTTTGGCCGCCAGATAGGTTGTCACCTCGTCTTCCACGTCTCCATCATCATCATCCTCGTCAGCAGCAGCAGCAGCAGCACCGCCGGCCTGACGCTTCAGGGGCATTTTGTTGAGCTCGGATAGGAACAGATTCTCCCTGCGCCCGGATGGAGGAGGGATCTTAACCGGACCTGAACTCACAGCAGGATTGGATGCCACCGGGATCCTATCTGAGGACGGTGAGGTCTTCATGGGCCTCTGCACCACCGGATACTCGTTCCGGATAGTCTCCACCCCGATGATGTCTAAAAAGTCCTCCCTGTCCATGTCCTCCGGGGCGGGGGTCTTGCTCTTTAGCGGCAGTCTGCGGCTGAAGTACCTGATCTTGGGGGTTTGGCCGGCCGTGTAGCGAGCTGGGGCTTGGGGGTCACGGTGGAGCTTCCTGAGCTCCTCCGTGAGCAGCATGTCGATAAGGTCCTGTGGGGGGACGTGGAGCTTCAAGGAGAGCTCCAGCAGCTCCTTCACCGTCCGGGGATCCACGATGGAGGGGCGGATCAGTCTCTTTCTCTGCTCGCCGGTCTTGTCTCGCTTCTGCGTCTGGTCGCTCATCTCCAGGACTTTCAACAGGTAGTAATCTACCAGTTTGGTGTCGTCGTCAGCCTCCTCTTGGTTCTGGCTGGCCCGGCGCTGCATCTCCTCCCTCTCGGACTCCTCCTGGTCGCCGAGCGCCCGGTCCATCTCCTCGTGGCTCCCGTTGACCATCTCCTCCGTCTCCTCCCTCTCCTCCACGGGGACCCACTCCTCCCCTCCGGCCACGTCCTCGTACGCCTGGTTTCTCAGGCTGATCCCGTCCTCTTCCTCATCGTCGTCATCCCCAAACACGTCTCTCTTCTGGCCGGCCACAGTGGGCATCCTGCCGAGCTCTTCGAAGATGGAGCGTAAATTGGCGAGGCTCTGGGGCGTGTACTGCTCGTCCAGGTCCTCCGTGGCCCGCTTCGAAGCGTCCGTGTTCTCCTCGTCCTCAAACATGAGCGGGTATTTCTTGTGGGATCTGGGGAAGTTACCGTAATCTACCGGTGCGCTCTCGGGGATTTCAGTGTCTTTGGTGCGGTGCCGGTGCGTGCGGCGGTCGTTCCTGGGCGCCGATGCGGGGCTCAGCTTGGCGTCTTTCCCGGCCTGATCCTGGAGAGACCTGAGCAGAGCTTTCATCAGCTGCTCAGCGGTAATGTCCTGCCTCTGCATGCCGGCGGAGGGCTGGCGCTCCCCGGGACCCTCGTCCTGCTGCGAGGCGAGCTGAAGCAGGACCCTGAACTTGTCCACTTCGTCGTAATCCACGGGCTCGGGTCGACCCCCACCGTTCCGCTGCTTCAGGTTCTCAATGTACTCCAGGGCTTTGATCATGTCGGAGCTGGGTGGGTAGGCACCCTGCTGCTGGCCCTCGCTCTCCCCGCCTCGGAGCCTGTAGTGGCGGGGGAGAGACGCAGTCTGCACGGCGCATCCGTGGAGAAGGAAGGCGAGCAGGACCACGGCTCCCCCCGCGGGCAACTTGTGGTGGAAATGCAGCATTATAGGCAAATGTATTACCTGTGAAACAAGAAAGTGAGAAGAAGAAAAAAAAGAAGGAGTGATTAGAAATTCAAGGGGAGGAAAAGCCAGATCTTCTAGGAGTTATCTCGGGTGTGTTTTGATCCGGGATTTGTCTGCCTATCAGGGAGTTACGCTCCGCAAATTGAATGATATGATGCTGTGCGTGAGGAGATACAGTCGCATCACTGGATGAGTCACTCCCCGCGTTGTTATGGGCAACCTCAACATCCGATTTCCTCTTAACAACATGTACCTCAATTTAAAAAAACGATCTCTTCCTCCTTTTATTTTTATCTTTATTTTTTTTTTTTTACCCCTAGTACTACAACAACATCTCAACATAATCCGATTTCCGAGGATGCGTTTAATCACGTTGATCATTCTAAGGTGAGGTGTCGTGATCTGCGTGAGGCTGCATTAAAAACACAAACACGATCTCCCCAATCTGGTACGTTTAGATTAAAGAATAATAACGAATCCTAGAACAAAATGTATTATTTTTGTATTTTTTTACCTTTGGCGATGAAGCTCAGACAGCAGTAAAGGTGTATGGCATCTCCTCAGGAGCGGATCTGTTCTCTTCTGGTTTCAGCACTTGGACAGCTCCCCCCTGTTATATGAGGAGACACCTGACCAGCGCGTCATCACACAACACACGCAATAGCCGGTCCTAAAAAATCCATATAAATGATTCAGGTTTATGATATGGCATACTAAAGAGTATTAAAAATAGATCTGCGTGCTGTCTGTTGCACAGCAGCTCTCTGTAGAAAGATCTGTACAAGTGAACAGTGCTGCTGCTGCTGCATGTCTCACAGTAAGAGGCATGTTTATGTGACTATCCGCTCATCTGGGCATCACAAATGTACAGATTTTAGTTTTTATTTGGTCAAAATGTCAGCTTGAAATGTTGCAACTCAACTCAACTAACCCCTAGTTTGTGTCATCTGAAGTGATGCCCACCCAAATGTACCCAAAACACAACATTTTCCTCTCCGGTGGTCATTAAAATCAACATGCATTTCGCTGGCATGCGAAGAGTTAAAGCCTCTAGCGATGACTCACAGGCTAAAACCACCGCGGAGTTGCTGTCGCAGTTCAGCAGCTCTCTCTCTCTCTCTCTCTCTCTCTCTCCGCTGACAGAGATGGTGATAAACACCCTCCTGTCGGCTGGGGGCCAAAGCTCCAGCATTCCGCAGGTTGACAAGATAAAGGGGCCACAGCGAGCCCGGCTGCCGATAAAAGGTCATGGATGGGTGGTGACAAAGTTTATGGTGAGATCAAAAGCCTTGCTTAAGGCTTGGGCCACTCATTTGGACCATTTATCACCCGGTGAACATCTGGAGTTATCAAAATGGGCATCTTCATCACATGGGGAATCTATAAGGTGCACTTTAGGCTGCGAGGTGTTGCAACACAAAAGCTTCAGAGACAAACTGTTCCTCTTTCAAACTGCAAGACTTTTCATTTATTTACTCCTGAGGATGAAACTGTAGACTCGCCCACTATCCTTGTTGCTGTTTTCCCCACAGCCCCAATCAAACTCATTAAACAGTGGTTTTATCCTCCCTGATGCTCCAGCGAGATGTCAAGTCTCCTCCAGAGCCTCTAAAGTGAATCCGCTCAGTGTACCTCTGACACCCCACACACATAAGTGCTCTTCTGTTTCAGCCCCATTTTTTATTGCACATCTAATTGCCTTCAACTTGCCCCTCGTTTATTCCGTGTCTCCATCCTTTTTCACACAAAAAAACTTGCCCACTTCATCTTGTCACCTCGCCCTCACACACAGCGTGTCACCGTCACCGCCATGAGACATCTACAATGCTTTTTTTTATTTCAACGTCAGCCGCCTGCCCTCTGGGGCTGAAGAAGAGCAGAGAGCCTCATGACGTTAAAAGACTTATCCGCCTCCCTCGCTGCTGCTGCTGCTGCTGTTTGTTTAAGTTCATCTCAATGTGTGTTTGTGCACAGCTCGCGGAGGAGAGAAATAAAACAGAATCACAGATCAAGGGGCTGATAAATAGAGAGACAGAGATGGAGAGGCGTGGTGTTGTTTGTAAGATGTGTTGTATAATCCCTCAGCATCACTCCTCTGACATCAGCTCTCCATTCAAAAACAGCCTTCACCCCCTCCGAGGGGCAGCAGCGACTCCAGGTCACAGCAGAGCCCGTGTTGGTTATCAGACGGTTGCATTCCCTTGTGTGGATAATAGACAACGCTCATTTACTTCTACCAGTTTTCACTAAAAAATGAATAGAGCTACATGCAGTTGAAAGCTCATTATTGACTGACGAAGTTGTGTGCAAGACTGAAACACGTGTCACAAAGCAAATGAGAGCTGTGTTGCATTATTTCCACAGCTCAGGAGCCCTTTGACAGCCACGAGCGCACATTAGTCAGAAATGCTCCACTGTTACGCTGTTGTTCCTGCTAAAAATAATGTCATATGGCTGCAGCATGTGTCTGTAAATCATTATACTCGACAAGCAAAACGCGTTTTTAGTGAGATGCGGTGTTTCTTTACCTCTGCTGGTGTCGAGGCCGTGGGTCAGTCAGGGGTGGGCGTCTATTTAGATATCACACACATGACATACTGTTTTTTTTATCTGTGTGTGTGTCTGTCAGTTTTTGTTGTTGTTGTGTAAGTTAACCCCCCCTTGGGCACTGTGATGATTTTTGAGTGATAGATCAAGCTTTCTAAATTCAAATCCCAGCAGGGCTCTGCTGGTGAAAGATTCACTGACTGCATCTGTAATTCCTCTCTGGGGCTTGTGATGTGCTGTCTGTGTGCATCGTTGTGTACAGACGAGACGCTTCAGACATTAAAAACAAGAAACGTCTCAGCGATCGGTGCCGCTGCGCCCCTTTCCTCTCTCTTTATCAATGAGCGTTACAGCGGGGAAGAGAGAGAATGATGCTAATTGAATTATGAGTCCTTAGTGCCACTCTCACTCTCTCATTGACTTTGTTTCCTGCCTCACATTACTTTAATGCTCTCTTTCCTTTGCTCTCGTTCTCACTCTCTGGATCTATCTATAGAGATGACCTTTATTACTAGACAATGCAAAAGTAATTTCTGGCAGAGTATTGATGGCATGGATTTCCCTCTCTGCTTCCTCAGTGGCGTATTACTGGTATATGTGATATATCTGCTTCCTATCCAAGCAACAATCTGAGTTGCATGAAGTTTTTAAATTGCTTTTATTATGAAAAGTGGCCGAAGAACATTAGAAGAAATGCAGGCAGTGGTGGGAAAAAAAGTAGTCCAATACAAATACAAGTACCGATGCAGTAAAGTAAAAAAATGAAGAGTTCATTTGCAAAAACTCCATCTTCACAAACCGTCAGAAATCCCACTTTTCCATCGTCTACCTGAGGCAAGATCAATCAAACTTAAGTCTGTTGTTGTCATGTCATTCCTACTCAGTCAAATCCACTCAACTTCACTTTGATTGATTTTATCTCAAGCAAACGACAAAAAAATAAGTTTTCTGAAAATCTAGAAAAATGGAGTTTTTGAAAATGAACTCTTTAAATATTAAAAGTAAAAGTCCTGCATGAAAAATCCTACTTAAGTAAAAGTACACAAGTATTAGCAGTTAAAGCAAGAATACAAGAGCTGGTTCAGGGCCTCTGACTGATATGTTATTATAAATGACATTCACACTTTTGTTTACTTCAATAGTGAAGCATCAGTGTGTCAGCAGCATGTTACTGCTGTAGCTGCTGCAGGTTTGAACTCCTCTGAATAGATATTTACATACAATGACCGCAGATAAATGTGAGGGAAGAAAAAAAAAAACTCTTCGGATTCACAAATCTGTTTTCAGCTTTCTCAAATCTTTGATTTTTTAGTGAGAAATTGTATCGAATGAGCAATGAACTGAAATGAAACCATGTACAAGGTTTAGAGAGAGAAGAAAAAAACATTTGGTGGAGCTATTAACAACTCAGAGACATCTGAAATGTGACCTCGACACTGCTTTTTCTAAAATTTCAAAAAGTGAAAAGGTTGGAAACCTCTAGTTCAGCAATAACTTGGTATATTTTAGAAGCTTGTGATATTATCCACTGTGTAAAATCTTCATCTGGCAAGTGAGTAAAGCTGTTAAATAAATGTAGAGGAGACCATCCATCCATTATCTATACACTGCTTAATCCTCACTAGGGTCATGGGGGGCTGGAGTCTATCCCAGCCGACTTAGGGTGAAGGCAGAGGACACCCTGGACAGGTCACCAGTCTGTCACAGGGCTACACTTAGAGACAGACAACCAAGCACACTCACATTCACACCTATGGACAATTTAGAATCACCATTTAACCTCAACATGTTTTTGGACTGTGTGGGAGGAAGCCGGAGAACCCGCTGCACGGGGAGATTCCGGTGCCCCCACCGGGACGCGAACCGGCGACCTTCTTGCTGCGAGGCTAACCAACTGCGCCACCTTGCAGCCCGTAAAGGAGACCAAATTTCAATATTTCCTTCTGAAATGAAGTGGAGTCTGTGTGTAAAATAACATAAAGTAGAAACACTACCTCAGAATTGTTCTTACATACAATCCTTGAATAAATGTACTTAGCAGCAGCTTGGAGTTTGTCGAGGTTGAAACATAATAAGTCCCTTTTTCCCCATCGCTGATTTCTTGGTAGATTCCTGAGCCAACTACAGCATCATAGATATTTGCTATTGTCTACACAATATTATGTGAAGGATGACATGTGATAATGAAGTAATTATAGGACTAATAAGACTACTACGGAATAGGAAGCAATTTCTGAAATAGATGGAAGCAATTGTTATAATCTAATTATTCAAATCAGTGGTTCGCATAATAATTCATCAGCAAATACATGGATAATAATCCACAGTCACCTGTCCTAGAAACAGGAAAAAATAACAGGGGAACAATCAGAGTTGACTTTTTTTTTTTTTGCAGGACCGGTTTGCCTCTGATTTGACTCAAGAAAAAAAAGAAAAAAAAAATCAATACTTTTATGATTTGGAAACTCAAGCTGCATTCCATTTTGTAGCTAAGAAATGATGAAGAATCACAAATATGCCGTCTATTTAACAAAGTGGTGTTTTGGTAACAGTGTGCCTTATTCAGAAAGCATCATATTTGTAGCTTTGAAGGCAATCAGATGCTAAACACCATCTGTGCGGAATAGATTAGACATCAACAGTGTCTACAAACATGGTGCATATTGAGAGCTTTTAGTAATTGATTTTAATGTCGTTATATAATTGGATTCATATTTCTTAAACATTAAAATGAACCTGCATTGGCCTCCTGCATGTGTTTGTTTTTAGCTGGATGCTAAAACATGAATGGTTTGAAATGAGCGACTGGATAATGTTCAGCCAGGTCCAAATTTGTACGTCAGATTTAATTTTCACTCCCTTTTTTTTTTTCCCTTCCACCTCATGAACCATCTGTTTATATTTCTTTTTTTTTTCTCCTTGATTGAATGATACAGTATCTGCCACGTATCTTTCTCCGCCTCCCCACATCGAAGGCAGCAGCAGCAGCAGCCAGTTGGGATACTGCTGTTGTTTACCCACACGCCAATCAAAGC